TGAGTTCCTCGGGGGAAGCTGGTCAGTGCTGTCCAGATTGGGTTTACATGCTTATACCAAAGTATGAGGGAGACATTCCTAAGGAAGGACAGAAGAAGTTGTCCATATCAACACATTTGCAGCGAGAGGAGGGACTCACTTTCTGCCATCTCAGAAACATTGGTCATTTTTCTCTTCAAAGWGTAAAGCAAAGAACAGCTGTTCAAATATTGGTTATGGCTCAGCAGTCAGTGGGGATTTCAACTCACAGAGATACCAAGTCTCTGACAAGTGAAAAGAAAAGTTGACAGGACTGATGTCAAAAATTTTGGTTCCTTAAGCAAAACTACATAATATTCAATTGAGGTCAAGGTGACAGGAATATTTGAAATTTCTGCTAGGAATAGAATGAATGGATTTCATTTTTGAACCAAGATGTCTGGAGAAACAGAAACATTCTGTGTTTGGGAAAGGCTTATGACTGGATTCTAGTCCATGCTCTTGCTCTTGTATCTAGCACACAATGTAGGACAAAGGCTGAAGTGTGTGATATTTAGAGTGAGTTCGTTATTTGAATGGCTCCTTGGGTGCTGTAGCTGGTAGCAGCAAGGAAAGGCTAAAGGCCTGCTGTGAATTTTGCTGGAAGCCAGGCAGATCCAAACAACCTTGGCATCAAGGGGTTATAACACAGCCTGGTGTCATTGCAGATTTGATGTACGAAAGAGAAAGCGCAGGTTAGAATTCTGCATGGATGAATGTCATTGTCTGTGTTGGGTGTTTTAAACCTTTTCCATAGTTTAGATAACAACCTGCAAACATTTTTCTACATGCAATATCACCCTAATACTAACGTCATACCAGGGACACCCTTCCTCCCTGCAGCAATATGCTTGGATTATCTCCTAACCTATTCTGGAGCACTATGTTCCTCTCTGGAGATGTTTTAAAGAGGCCATTTAATGTTCAGAAGAAAATGTAACTTAAATATCAAGATTAGTCAAGAAGAGGCAAGATGGAATGTGGGGGTCTTAYTAGCTGTAACCAAAGACATGGCATCAGTCTTAAACGTTGTATTTTACTGAATTTGACCATTTCCAGCAATTAGTGGTAAAACTGATTTCTAGATTAAAGGAASGTTTATAGCATATAATYTTTTTTTTKKTTTWAWTTWMCMRGCTCCATCTGTTTCCCCATTTCTCCACTGCAGAACATCCTAGCTCTAAAATAAATCCCTAATTTCTTTGTGGACAGAATGGTGTGATAGCTGCTGCTACCTGTTTGTCTCTGCTTTCCACTCCTACTCTTTCCTCAGGCTTTCTAACTAGACAGATTACCCTTGGTAGGAAACCTTCCCAATAAAAAACAAAATCAAAGGCAGTATGTTTCTACTTAATGTTTTAGCTTTGACTAAACATTCAGATGCATTAAAGACAGTAGTTTAATAAAAAGATATCCTAATGGGTTGTGTGCTTCAGTGGTTCTCATCTCCTGCGTCAGTTCTATGTGAGGCCCCTCCCATGACTCCCTCAGCTACCAGTGAAGTTAATGGTTAATCATTATATTATTTCTGACTACTGCACAGGCAGAGTCAGTGGGTTGCAATCATAGCCATGCTCCGGAGGATTAAAGTGAGTGTTTAGGGTGCTACTCTACTTTTGCAAAAATCCTGTAGATTTCCAAAACCTTATAAARTCAGGGACTCATAAAACTCTTTTTGAATGTTAACATGAGTGTATTTTAGCTTTAAGGAACTCAGAGTGGTTCTGAGTTTAAAAAAAAAAAAACTGGTTTTAGTTGCAGTGAGAGTTCTCTGTGGCCTTTCTCAAGGGGGCTTCAGCCATCCTCTCTGTATTGAGCTCCTGTGATGCCACATACAGCTGAGCCATAGCTTTTTTTCTCTCCCGTGTGACCTTCTGTTCACAGAGGCCGTGGATGTTAAAGAGAAGCAAGGTGAAAACTGGATCCCTTTATACACTTTGTGCACTTTACATCTGTGCCTAAAGACGAGGGGACCTTTGTGGTCACCTCCCAGCATCTCRATGCAGATGAAGGGCAATGACTCATGCTCTCCTATGTCTTCTGTACCTGTTACGTGAAGCTGATCCACTTTACACTCCAACTGCTGCTACCAAAAGTCCTTCTCAGTGCTCACTGCAGAGAGCTGTTTGCAAAGCTTATCCAGCAAAAGGCTGAACAAAATGGTTCAGATCATTGGCACTGTGTAGTCTGGGGGAAAAGAGAGAAAAGGAAAGWTAAAAAATGAAAGCARTTYGATACAGTTTAGCCAACATGTAGAWACTCCCCCTGGAATTTAACATTTAGGTATGATAGTATAAGAAATAAATAGTCTTCAAAATGAAAACTCTTTCATATTACCAAGTAGGTCACATTTCCAACAACTGTTTCTCAATATGTAAATAYAAGCAACGATTGTTTTCAAAAATAYATAATTACATATTCAACAGAATGAATAATTTTTCCCAATGCAGCGCAGTTAATTTAACCTGAAAATTAGTGATTATCATTTTGGTGTTAATTATGGAGCAGTAAATACATCTTCCGTATTTAACAATAGACTCCTCTCTGCTTCAAATACCCCAAGTCACTTGTGGGATTAAMAATGTTGCTTTGTGATTTTAAAGGCACAAAAAAAATTTAGAAGATACCATTGGAAATTAAGGATTAATATACTCATTAGGACCTCTGCTTTTACTTAGGCTTGCATAAGTGATCTTACCCTAAGCACAGTATTTTTCACTTACGTGCATGATATYGTGTGAGTGTCCTTGAGAGATCCAGGCCTGGAGGGCACCAGAGGAAAGATCACAGTACAAGCTGTTTTTATTCTGGATACACATGCTTGCTTCTGTGTCTTTCTGTCTCTGCATACCACAGAGATAACCCACACCTGGTAGAGAACCAAGTAGGACATAATATGAGGTCTGAGAGAGCATGAGTGGTTTCAGTAAAGCATTAYAGAGAGCAGAAAGATTGCAAGTGAAAGATTACACTAACAATCTGAAAATAGATGAGTGCTATACAGAAAAAACACAAGTGGWTACAACCTTTCCTTTCATGTGCAGCCCATCTCATTTCATCCTCCTGCATGGATCTTCGAAATGTAGAAATGCTGACAACCCTTTCTCCAAGTGAGAGAGAGAAAAGTCTTACCTCCTGCTATGTGAACCATGATACAATAATCCTATGAAGGCATTCTTCCACATACCTCATTCTAAAACATTTGGGCTCAAAATCCACTTGAGATTGATCAGATATGATGAGCTCAGTCTAGAAGGCTTGGATATAAACACTTACTGAAGTGTTTTGCTAAGTTCCTGTCATGGGGTATGATCATGTGGGCTGGAAAGGCCAGTTTAGGGTCTTTAGGAGGAGCTGACTCAAATGTATGAATTATCCAACATTTTCATTAGTACCACTGGGGAGATTTGAATGTGGAATAATCTACGAATGAAGTAACCAGAGAGGGGCAAAATGCACACCCAAGGAATATTAGTATTCAACTTCAGAGCAACTTCTGTGTGAGCATATATRTACTCATTGCAATATCCTGAAAATAATTGTATACATATGTATGTTAGCCCCACCCTCCAGTGGCATCAATAGGTTTAACCTCAGTTTTCTGCTGCACTGCAAATTAAAGGAAAAGACTTTATTTTAAGAGTGTTGAACACATGGCTGCCATCCAACAACTTCAGTATGGCAMCCTCCCAAGAAAGTGCTCCAAGGCAGCCTAATCAGGACAGAATTCCTGGCAAAAGTACGTTTTGAGACAAGGCTCTCTCTCTTTTTCCAAAGTAGAAAACTCCTTTGATGGCAGGCACAGAGAGCATTTAAGAACTTTCTCAGGTGCCTTTTTTGCAAACTGAAAATCAAACTCAAAAAGCTGGGAAGGAAAATTGCAGGAGTCATTTTAACACTTTCCCCGATCTAATTGGGCAGTGGAAACTGAGAAATAGCCAGCTGATTTCACTTTAGTTCTCATTTTTTCACTTCTGTCAATAGGTACAAGGTTGTAACTGATTACAGAAGGTTTTAATGCTGCTCTGTAAACATGAATGAGGCCTTAGACTTAAACTCTATCACAGAGCTGAGTTAAATTCTCTCCTAAAGGGCCACTCAGCTTTAGTTTTCTAATAATACACATTCCAAAATGCTGATTTGGGTTTTGTGTTGGGATTTTTCCCTCCCCAGTATGTTTTATTGCTGCTGAACTGCTCTCCCTGCTTTGCATAGTCCAGTTCTGGCTCTACCCAGAGCTATGGTTTGTGACAAAAATGTTATGTGTTGGAGAAAAGATGGGAATGATTCCAGAAGTCAGCAATGGTGTAACATGCTCAGCATGCCCACAGTGCCAACAGGATGCAGAGGATGGGTGTCCTGGGCTGTGGGGGCTACAGGAGCTGGCACAGCCYCACAGATTCTTCACTGGGAGGAAACAGAAATGACTCTAAGATACAATGTCCTCCATCAGCTCTGTGAGATGTGGTTTTGGGAGGAAGGTGTGGCTTCAGATCTGCTGACATCATGGAAATGCTTCACCTCCTTCTGATTTCACAGAAAGCCAAACACAAGAAATGTGACACTCAGGAGAAAAAGGTGCAAGCCACTCTGGTTAGATGAGTGAGAGCCCTCCCACAAAGCCCAACCAGGATAAATACAACTGAGGAACTTGAAAAATAACAATGAGATGATGTTTTGATATCAAATGCTAAGTTGGGAAGATTAGTCTAACTTCTCTATCCCTAAACTAATAAACCTGGTGATTTTTTCCTATAAAAATCCAAACAGCTATTCTAAACAAGAGCATTTTCCTCCTTTTCTTCAGTACAGACAGCTATTTTTTTTTGCAAATGCATGAGTACCTGATTAAAGCATAGAAGCAGAACACACTAGTGACCCATATGTATCCATTCTTCACCCATACGTACCCATTCTTCAATTAGGAGAAATAAATAATGTAAGTAATTGAAAGTGTCAAGTACCTTACATTGGTAATAATTTTATCTTTTATTTATAGCATACATAAGATAGATAGGAGTACCTGCATTTTTAAAACACAGAACACTTTTTAAGACTCTTRTTATCTGATTCTTGTTCTCCTGGAGATCATGTTCAGCACACAGAAAAATAATACCATTCCAAGTAAGGAATGTAATAGAACTTTTTATTAAAACTATATTAAAGATGTTCTACTGTCATAAGCAGATCTAGATTCTTATTTCTTGTACTTCTTTTCTTTAAAAAAAAAAGTTCAGGCTAAACATGAGTGTTTCATAACTGCCAGATAGCCTAGAACATTAATTTTGACACCCAGTATTCCAAGGAAACAGCTTCTTTGTGTTTATAGATGAAAGGGCCACAGGCAAATCAAACATCACAAGAACCTGGCAGACAAAATTTCCCAAGGACATTACAGGAGTTCCAGAAACTGCAGCTTGTAAAATTATTTCCAAAACATCACTTCTAAAACCCTTTGAGCTTTCACTGTTTGAAGTCCACCTCGAAAAGGAGGCAGAAGTGCAGGCCTTGAGACAGTGTGGAAGGGCTCATGCATATGAAGTATCAACGAGGTGATGCTGTGATGAGCTCAGAGATGACTGCCCAGAGCCCCAGCAGTAGACGATGTGCAGCAGGAACAGGAGACAACACCAACAGGGGTTTTCAGAGCATTTCCTGCAGTTCTGTAGAAGAGAGGTTGAGGCAGAGGTAAATGAGCCTGGCAGGCTGGCAATTAATGCAACAAACCAAGTGTGAGCCAGGGAAACATAGAGAGATGCAAAGCTCTGCAGGCAAGCCCACTGAGGGAAATAGGGAGAGGAAGCGATGAGCAAAACAGAAGATAAATGTATTTCAGAAAGAGGGAAAAAAGGTCCTACTAYAGCAGTTTTCTGAGGCACCAGGTGCTGCTCCATCTGCAGTTACATTTAGACACATCTCTGAGGCAACTGGGTATGTGGGCTCGTGTCCTTTCTTTCCTATGACTCCCACAGGTTTTGAACCCTGCTATTATAGACTTTCAGGCTTAAAAATTCCAGTGGTTAAGTTAGAAATCTGTAGTCATTAGAATAATGGGAGATCCCTAGAGAGAGCCAACACGGCTATGTAGAAAATTTATTAGCAGCAGGAACAGAAGCCTGTATCAGCACTTTACTGGTGGATAAATCAGTGGGTTTGCTAATGATGTTTCGGTTCTCTTGATTGAATTGGATTTGTAAGAGAAATGCAGCTGCAGACTGAATTGCTTTRTATGACAAGAGAATAATGAATAGCCAATCCTGAACACCCAGGGTTTCTGTATATATGGGATAATTTAGCTTCCRTTCTTGTTGTTATTATTCTATATGCAAATGAAATTATCAATGCCTTTATATAATAACTTCCTGGATCACATTTATTCTAGAGCTTTTGCCTGTTTGTGTGCAAGAGAAAYTTCTTCCCCTCATTTTATCCAAGGTTTAACACTAAATCCAGCTTCTGCTGGAGCCTGTGGGAGTTTTATTATATTACMGATATGACCCATCCAGAGGACATTGAAAGTGAACAGAAAATATTGAAACTGCCTGTGATTATGAGGGTGCTATTATTTATTTGGAGATAGGGCCCATTACCTTATGCTATTATCTGCATGTTACATGAGCTGGGTTTTGCATATTTGATGTTTACTTAACATGCACATCAGGTTCTTTTAACAATAGTGTTTYGGAGATGGCCTGGCTAAGTGCCCTCATCAGCCTCTTGCTAGGTTGTTCTCTGGGGTTCCAGCCAGTCAGTCTTTATGTGTTTTAAGCTCTAAATAGGCTACTGCTCCCACTCTGAAGGATCACGCCAAACTGAACCAATGCCCGCTGGAAAAGTAAAAAAGAGGATGCCAGCTGGCCAAGAGGGCTGAAAAGAAAGAGAAAGAGATAAAATCATTCTTACACCGAGAAACTGCCTTAGCAACRTCCTCATCTGCTGGGTGGGAATAGATCACGGTCGCCTGGTTGGTCTTCCAAATGGCTGAGCTCCCAAGTCACAGTTACTCCTTGCCATTGGAGRTACAGTTGACAGAGATGTACCGTTGAGACACACTATAAATTAAACAGATGGATTGTGAAGGCCAGGCACTGTATGCACCAATTGTTTCTCCCACTAGGGGAAAATCATACAAAASATTCTCCTGGTGTTCAACAGGATTGTGGTGGTTCATTGCACTACAGCTTTAGAAAGGTTTTGGATGACTGGCTGCAGTGGGTAGAAACAAACTGGCAGTGACACAATTCCCACCACTTGCACAGCAGTGAGGAARTTTTCTCTTAGGCAGGAAGAGAGGAGAGAGCGATTTTCCCTCACCCACTGACAAGCCAGGGACAATGCTGTGGGAAGGCTCTTGGCACTTTTTGCTTTCACTGTTTATGTGCCAGAGGCACTGACMAGAAAAGTCTGACCATCTCTAGCAGTCCTTCTCATACACTCTGCTGGCAACTGAGTGTCCAGGYAACAGTTTTTTGCCCTACATGAGGGAGGCAGACAGGAGTGTAGGAGTGAGACAGCATCATCAGGCTGCAGAAGAGCATGTGATTCATGGAAACTGTCATTTTCCACAGGGTGGAGGGATACAAGTTTGGAAAGGGCTTTTGTGAAAAAGATGAGGGAGCAAGAAGAGAGGTGTGCTGAAAAGGACTGAGGTAAAGAGAAGCTCAGAAAACTGCTCAGCTGGATTCTTGGAGAYATGAAGTGTATGGATGTGGCCAGGAAAATGCATCACAGTGCRTATTCATTTAATTCCAGGGAGCTTCATGGGGATGGCAGTGATGGGAGAGGCAGTGTAGGCGTTTTTCYTGCATTTAGTATACATTCAGATGGTATTTCAGGCCTTGAAACTGTGGCTGCTAAGCCACTCAACATTTTAAAAGGCTGCTCGGGTTAACAACTATTAAAAAAAAAAAAAAGCTTCAAATTTTAATCCTGGAAACCGGGAAATTAAAATAAAGTTGGAAAATCAAGAAACACAACACATTTTTGGGACACATTTTCTTTACAATTATTATAATAATTTCGGGCATCCTATTAGAATGAAAAAATCTGTATTGTACTTGAGAATCTGAATTTTTTCTAGTATTTTAATGGTTTWACATAAATTCAGGGTTCAAAAGCCTTGCATGAAGGAAGTTAAATTAGCAAAACAAATTTGTTTAATTACTGGGTTTAAGTAAGGTATTTAAAAAGATTCAGCTATATAAGCAGTTGGTATGTTTTATTCCAGTAGGACGTGCTATCTTCTTGGATTGAAATGAACAATTCTGTCACGCTGATGGGGACTATCACACTGCAGGCAGTGCCTGGAATGACAAGTTTCCACAAAGTAACACTAAATAATTAGTGCTGCTAATTATTATCAACGTATTTACCATGAAAAAGCTTTAGCTATAACCATGCCAGAGAAACAGATTTCGTTAGACTTGAAAATGCAAGTAACACTGCTAAAAGGAACTATTGAAGGGAACAGACAGTAAGGCAGCTCTTTTTCTGCTTTCCAACAAGATTTAACTACTGTTGACAGAGAAAGTATAGGACATCTTTCCAAAGCAGGTCTGCATAGTAAAACAAACTCGGGAAGGACAAATAAATAATCTTGTTAAAAGTTCTCTATAAAGCAGCTTTGCACTGTGGAAATATATGTTTACGCACTCACACTGGAGCTGTAGGTGACCTGAAGAGGGATTTGCTCAACAGAGAAAGCAAAGGAGAAAAAACTGAGCACTTAATTTTGTCTGTCATCTTCTCTGTTTTCTGTGGTGATAGAGAAAAGCAGTTCTGGAGTAAGGACTTTCTATAGCACAACACAGCTGCTCTTTCTRATGTGTCCCTGAAAGAATTCACCATCTGGCATTGATGATATCACAACCTGTTGCCATGGGACCATCATGACATCATACATATCCCACACTAAGCATCCTGGCTTTCAAAGCTAGACAGTACAGCTGGCATGTCCAAGTTCAACAGCCAGCAGAAAAAGGTAACAAAGACCACAGGGCCAGGACATAATGCCAAAAMCAGCTGCCATGAGCATGCTCAGTTACAGGGCTTCTCTGAGGAGGTACCAAGGAAGGATTTCCTGTGTGTCCCCAATACGCAGGGCAGTGACACCAAAACAGGACTACAAACCAGCTGTGATACTGCTGACACAACTCTGTGTCAGAGCAGTATCAATGGAACGGTCATGTTTTGCTCAACAAGTACTTTCTTGCCTCTAGTGCAATGTGGTCTGGTATTAATGGAAATGCTCAATTCATCAACACATATAGGAAAAACTGATACAAAGTAATGATAACTACTACACTCCCATTATGGAGTCTGTTATTAATTTGATTGCTCTTGGTTTACAGTCCATTTCAGATTTATATGCTGCAGTCATGTAAGGATATTCTGTTTGGAGAAACTCATCAGACTTGTGTGTTTCAAGTACATTGCAGCACAACTGGATAAAGTTTTAGCTCAACCTCACCACTTTTCATGAAAGSACAGTGGAATGGGAGCCTTCAGCTTTTACTCAGCCACTTCATGGAATATGCAACAGACCAGAAACATGGCCTTTGATGAGTTATTGCTTAAGTAAAAACATACTTCAAGTATTTATTTCTGTTACAATAGTAAGTCCCTGCCCTCTGTCCATGGGGAAGATATTACAGGATCTTAATTAATTTAARAAAAGCCCAAGATACATAATGTAACTCAATTTACATTTTCTGTAACTCTCTGACAAAGGATAAGTTAAATTTGTGACACTCCTGGTATTTTACTACATTTGCAAGTGAGAAGCAGGCCCTGCAGTCTTAAAGCAGACATGGAGTTGACAGGAAATGGAATTTCCTAATTAGTTTCTGAAATGTACGAGATGACGTGGTTGCCRGAGGTAGCAGAAACCAGACATGACRACCCAGATCTTTTCCTGTCCAATGCAAAGGATGGGAGTAAGACAGTTACGTGAGTATCAAAACTGATGAAACACAAGGCACAGACTTTTTGAGCTGGCTGCTTGTACAAGTCTAGATGAAAAGGGTTGACWGAATCTTGGGCAAAATAACAAATAAACTGGGTTACATTAAATGGCATTAGCAGTAGGTGTCTTCCAACTCGACTCCTTTTGACCTCCATGACAGTAGATTTGGGAGTTGAGCCACCAAACAGGAGGGTTTCTGTAACTAGAAAAAAAGGAATGCATGAGATAGCTGAAAGCTGARCCTCAGGACTGGTATTTCAGTCTTCATCTTCAGTATAAGCATGTGGAAAGATTCTAAACATTCCTATAAACAGATCAGAAATCTGGTTATCTTCTATGCCAACSCCCAATGGCAGCCAACCCCCAACAGAGGACATGAATAAACCAGTGTTTTGTTATCCCTTCCCAGCTTTCATCCAAATACRGTGATATAACTTATTTTGAATAGCCCCCTCATAAACATTTGCCTCACTTATTGAGTAGAGAAAACCGTTGCTTTTATTTAAAACGAAGTCTAAAAGTTAAGGAGGACCACCTGTAACTCTATCTGGAAAAAGCCCTTACCAATCCTTTTCACTTTTCTCACCCCTTCCTCCCCATAAAGGTATGTCTTTGGGATGGCTGTAAATARCAGTCATGAGGATAGCAGTTATGCATATTTTGGTTTTTCAAAAGGCTTTGTAGGCGGAAGATATCAACGTAGTTTAGGTAACCAGTATTGGAACCATTAGGCTGAAAAGYATTTTCTTTCCAAAAACTATGTATGTTCTCATTTACTCGGCTTGCTTGGCTTCTTAGAAGAAAAGGATTCAAGATTAAAGGGGCAAGAAATTTCTTCTGGGACTGTGTAATAAGATCCATACACAGAGAATCTTAGTTACTCCCGGCAAACTCAAGAGAAGTGAGTCTTTCTCCACTTTTGGCCAAGCAAGACTGTGCTGTTGCTGGCCTGTTGAAATTAATAGTTGAGGCTTATGCCTGTAAGACCAGCTCCAAAGAATGGACTGAATCCAAGCAATTCCTGTGCCATGATAGCAAGGTCTCCAAGACAACACCCAAATGGCAATGTCATGGTCTGTCACCTTCCCACTCTGAGCTCCTYTGCACATCACTGTGTGCCAGCTCAGCAATTCCAGCTATGTGAGAATATAGGAAGACATGTGAAGCCTTGAATACACTGTGGCTATAACCACCCTTCAGAAGCAGCTGAGACTCCCTCGCTAGGGAGGCTGCTATTCTACCCAGAAATGAGCCTGTAAGAATTCGTTTCCTTTGGACYATCCATGCAGTAACACAGGAGACAACAGGTTAGACAGGGTAGACAGCTGATTAATTAGCACACAAACGTGAATGTTATTTTGTCACAGCATCAATGTATTATTTATCAAATAACACATTTTCCAGGAGCTTGCACTTTTACGAAACCAGAAGGAAAACAGAGTTATTTCCTTTTGACAGAATATATTTCACTTTTTGGGCCATAATCTTGGCCCCTCTCTAATTCTTTCAGCCAAAATGTTCAGCCCAGCATGCCAAAAATCACACTTACAACTCAAAATTTAAGCAGCTGTATCTGTGTCTTGCTTTTCTCAACTTCTACTCCAACAGCTGGATTGCTATTAGTGCAACAAGACATGAAGACACCAATATTTGCAACATATTTCATGTAATGAAAGAGAAACTTTCACAAAGACACAAGTGACCAAATCTGTATGTGTTATATAATGTTTATCCTTCACAAAGGCTGTTAGAAACATTTAGGCTGTTTTTTATTAAAGCTTTTTCCAAGTGTGAGATATTTGCAGCCAGCCATCAACAAGACCACTGTCAAAAAGGATGAATGCTTACCCATAATGTTGATTCAGAAAATGATGCTCAGCAAAATGGTTGAATCCCTTCTCAGGTCGCCTGTAAACAGAGKCACACTGAGCTGTCAGCTGCTTCATAGGGAAATAATTCTAAAGGAACAAGAGCTCTTGACAACGTCACCCAGGCATAAAAGCAAGCAGTTTTTCTTTTGATAGGAAACAGAGATCATTGCTTCATTTCTATGTTACATTTATATTGTGCCAATTCTGTAAGGGCTTTTTTTTCATTTAAGAATGATTTCAGTAGAAAAAAACCTACGACATCTTTCTYCAATCTTCAAAGCATCTTCAACCAATCACAAACTCTTCTCCTGTAAATGAAGTTGACTTGTATGCAACRAATGAGGAAACCAGTTTCTGAAATCAAGAATAATTGACTGTATGACAACTTTTGGGTATAATTCCTTCTACTGGAGTTGGGAAAAGCTCATGAGAAACCACCAGCAAATAAAGAATTCCCTTTGGGCAGAACTATACCAAGAGCTGGGACAACTGAAAGAACGTGCAGCTTTCTGGACAAGAAAGAATCAAGTCTGAAGCACCACAGTTGTATTCTAGTCAAGAAACATTGTATCTGTGGAGGGAAAAGTGTACACGTTCTCATGGTCGAGGACTGCAGCATAATGTATGTGTGCAAGAAAGGCGAATGTTACAGATGACTGAGGTGGCATTTTTGAGTTGCTGCTGCATTTCCTCCATGATCAYGTTTTTATGTGAGGTGTTTATTAGAAATGTAAAATGATACACGAGGAGTAAAAGAACTGCAACAAAGAAATTCCAAGCTGGGCTGAATTACTAGTAAAATGGGACATCTGGCCAACTACCAGCAAAGGCCCATCCCCTGAAATGAGATTATGTGGCAGCAACTCTTRAAGACTGCAGTAGGGTATTCCTCCCTTTCAGGCCTCAGTACATAGCTCGTGGGGAACAATTCATCCAGTTCTCCTTCTAACCTCATAGCACATTAAGCATATTAAACCCTCGTAGAAATACTTTAAGGAACTGAAGGCAAGGAAATTTCTTTTATACATTTCTTTTTATAAATATATTTTATGCGAAGTAGAAAAGGAATTCAATGTTTGTCTTTTATGAGGTCTCTACAAATACTTTTAGAGACCAGAATTTCTKCTTCTGCTAGCAGGACCAGCCAGATGCAGCATCAACCACAGCAAGACCTGGAACTTGTGTAGAAAAGTAAGAACACCCCGGTCCTACCCTACCCATTCTTCTGTTTTTGTTTTTTTTTTTTTTTTTCGAACTGCTGCACGGGGAAAACACCATCACCAGACTGGAAACACTCCAAATAGGAACAGAGAGATTTATGCATGTTGATGTGTGACAGGGTTTTCTCCCAGTGGAGACAGCAACCCTCCCATTCATTTTGCACCACWCCATACACGTGTGGTATTGACTGGCATTCCTGTGAAAGTCCTGTCAACACTCCTCGTGCTTCTCCATATGTTAAAACTGCTCTTGCTCTAASTTCAATCTTCCCTAACAATACAGCAGCTAAAAGAAAGGTTTAGCATCTAAGAACTGAACCRTTCTAGTGTGGAAGTTTGCTTATATAAAAAACATGAAAGTAAATTACAAGGTGTTAAGAAGAAAATTTATTTGGTCAGTGAAAGGAAACCTAAATAAAACAGTGAATTTTTGAGAAAACCCGCCAAAAACTAGAGTGAAGACAAATGCAGGACTGTAATTATCCTTTTCACTCTCCTGTCTCACTGAAGCTTTTCAGATTAACCACACCAGAAATAAGTCTTGGAAACTGGATGCTTTTTAATTTCAGTGTTCAATTTAACTTCATCTCATCACATCTAAAGTGCAAGAGGTGGAACTGACATGGAAATGTTGCTTTGAAAACACAGTAACTACTACTGAAAGCAAAGCTATTCCATACTGCACTGCAGACTTRCTTTGTTGCAGCTGGCTGCTGCAGAGGGCACAGCAACTCCTGGTATGTACTGCAAACTACACATTACAAAGAAACCGTGGACACTCAGTCTGCATGAACTGAAGTGAAAATTTTACTTGTGACCTTCCTCCATTGCCAGGAAGGTGGATGAATATGTCACTATTAAAGCAGCAGAAGGTTCCTTTGCCATGGCATGGAAATGCTGCAACACGAAGTACAGCCCTTCAGCACACAGTGGTATTTATCAGCAGAGCTTCACACAGAATCCTTTCATGTGTTCAGGGCACCATTTTCTAAGGAGCCACTGGTTTTGAGGGGCCAGTTTGGCCTCTCTTACACAAACCACCAGTATGGCTCACTCCACATGGAGAGCTATTGGTGGGGCAAACACAACTGGCCAAAAATAGAGACAGAAGCAGAACCAAACAGCCAGTGCAGATGGATGAGCCCACACAGATGCACATCTCTTTACAGACAGATGAGTACACATCTATTTACTTGTGTTTAAATTTTGTGCATGTCTTATGAACTTGGGCATTGGAAAGCTGCACCTAAAACAGACATAGCCCACAGGGCTACCTGGCTTCCACAGCTCCCCATACACTGTTCAGACAGTCTATCAAACTAGCAAGTCTTTAAAGCTTCAAGCCTTCAAGCCCATTGATGCTTTTTATTAGAATGGCAAAAATCACCACAGGCACTGGCCCTAGTAGTGCTGTGTCCYCTTAAGTTTCTCTTCTGCTAAACAGATTTCTAACAGGCAGGACCACATCAGGCTTCTACCCAACCCTTCCACCCCCTTCATTAAAACATTTTTCTATATAATGTTGCTTTAAACTCCCACCAGACAAGTAACAGTCTGGAAGAAAAACTTCCTGCATTATTATGAACCTTTGAAAAAGAATTCAAATGTCTGGGCTATGGTAATTTGATAAGTTGTATCTTGGCCAGTGGGCTGCTGGTTCTCAAAAAAATCCAGCATTAGCAGACATAACACTTCAAGCTATGCTGTGTGAAACAGGATCCTAATACTACTACATTAAATAAGACTAAAAAATGGGATCACTCAAATTCCTAAACGGGAAGAGGAGACCATACCTAAAGTCTTTTACTTTTCTGCATCGCTTTAAGTTTTCCCAGTTCATTGGGTATGGACATTGTTATGTTTCTTGCAAGCACAGTCAAGGCAAGTGGGTATCAAAATGAGTGAACTTTAGACAGGTTAGATATTCCTGTCGCGTCTATTACTACTTGACAACTGTATGTGGGTTGACTGTGAGCATTGACTGTGAGCATTGCAGGCAGATACTGTAAAAAAAAAAAAAAAGCCAAAGAAATAAATGCTGTCCTTGCAAGACTCTCCCCCAAAGTCCAAACCCAAAATTTGCAATTTGCTCTTTCAGCAGCCCAGCCTGAGGCACCTGACCCTGTAGTTCTGTGCCAGGCCAGAGCACAGTCCAGGTACTCAGAGYTTAAGGGGTATAATGGGCCAGTATTTGGGCTGCTTTTTGTCACAGTTCCTATCGAAGATAAGTTGCATGGCAGCCTCCATTGCCTGGATTTTGGCAGCTTCAGCACCATASAGCTTTTTCATTTCTGCCATGCGCCTCTCTCCAGGTCTTTCTGTAGGCGGCTCCACAGAACGCTCCACCCTCCTGTGCAGGTCTTGATCAGCCTCCACGTATGGGTCCTCAGCTTCCAGCTGCTGCTGCCTCCCTAGACAAATAAAACATAGGAGATCTAAATTACTGGGCGATCAACCAATCACATTTTATTTTAACTTTAAAAAATATTACATATTCGTATTTTTGCCAGGTCTAGAAGGCCAAAATCCACACATTCTAGGGTACAGCTGCACTCACTTTGCATAAAGACAAATTCCTACTAAACATCATGATAAAGTCASGATGGAAGAAATGAGGAGAAATGAAAAAGATCCTGAAATCCTAAAACTGTAAGAAACCTCTGTATTAGTACTAGTAACCAAAACACAACATTGCTCCATTTCTTCCCAACATACATATGCCCTGAAAAAACTCAAACAACAAAAATGCAAAACACACTCCCCCTCCCAAGAAAACAGAAACAGCCCAACCAAAAAAATCACAACCTACTCCCCATACTAAAAAATCCAAACAAACAGGAATTATTTCCAAAWTAATGACTTAGCAGATGAGAAAGGAAACAATGCACAGGACAATGCAACTTYAGCTGAACAATAGCCAAGAGAAAATGTAATCAGTTACTACTCTGTGAAAATGAACAAATSGGTCTGTCATGTCTGCCATTAAGAGCATTCAATGAAACACAGCTGTAAGCATCGTGTTTAGATAAACTGTCCAAACTCAACCATTTCTCAAGACTTGCCAAGTTCAAAGCTGGCAGCCTTACTCTATTGCTTTGAAGACAAACAAAACAGCACCAACATAAATGCATGCATCAGGTCTTTTTAAAAGAGGATTTAAAATAATTCAAGAGCTGAAACATTTGGATCAATCTCTCAATAAAAATTCTCTGTGATAACCCTGGGCCCATGGAGAAAACTAGAATTGCTCTGAAGCGAGCAACACATACTCATCCATTAAGCAGACAGCATGGTTTATCAAAACACTGATTCTCAGCCTGCAGCAATGAAGACCCCAGCTCCCTCTCAGATCAGTTTCACATTCCAGATTCACAAGTCACTGGGCTGCCAAGTTATAAATGTAAAACAAGTAATTTTTACACAATTCTAAGTAGTTCCTCCTTCCACTTCACACAGACTAAAATAAACATGTTTTCTTTTACAGCATTCAGCTTCAACTACTGGCAAGCTTCCCCCAATCAAAGAACAGTATTTTGCAAACGTTCATAAGGCACGCAGGCAGCTGCAGTGGTGGTTGGTTCCTGCACAGARGAAAAAGCATTGCTGACATTTACTCAGTTATCCAGTTCAATTTCTTTTCAAAGATGTTCTTTCTCTCTCTTGTAGCTCTTTTCAAAAGTAACTTATTCCTACCAAATCCAGCTCTGCTGGAAAGTCATCATTACCTGGCCAAAACCATTGAGACATCTTTTTCCAAACACAGTAAACAGAATTCTTTAACCATGAAGGAAAAKAGTCCAGATCTATCATCTGTAACCCAAAATGTTATTGTGTTTCGTATCTATCTGTGGCCAAAACAGTTAGTGTATCTCTATGAATCTGGATCTAGAAATGGAACAGTAGGTGCCCCCCTCTAGAAAGGGGCCAGCAGGTGCCAGTCTTTTTAAAGTTTGTGCTGCGCAGGCAGAGCTGTTTGTTAACTCGTGGCTCTTGCTCTTGCAGGGAAAGAGCTGAGGTAGCACTGGTAGAGGCTCCCCTCTTGTTTCCTTTAGGTTTTTTTTTTTTTTTTTTTTTTTTTTGTTAACGAGGCAGGCAGGTGTTCAGCCCTCTTCCCAGTCTTCCAGGAACTCCCAACTTCCTCTCCAGTGTGGCACTAGGAAAGGCAGAAAAGGCCTTGGCTCTGCGTAAGCCCTGCTCAGCAATAACGAAAATATTTCTATATTATCAACCCTGTGTTGAGTGCAGATTTGAAACTGTCCCATGCCAGCAACTGTGAAGGAAATAAAACGCTACCCCAGTCAAAAGCAGAACATCTACCTACTCATACTACATCCTGGGCCATCATCAGTGATTCTSGGCCTTACAAAAGAAAGTTTTGGATTACTGTTTCTCCCTTCACCACTTTTCATGGATGACTTTTAATCTGGCATGTACCAGCTGAAAAGTGAGCAAATACAGACAACTACCGCCATCCTCAGAAACTGCCAAAAGCAGGAGAAACAGAAACTAGTGTATTAGCTATTCACCGCATTTGGGCCTTCATATAGACACAAACGACCTCCTACATACTTCAACAAGACTATGACCTAAGCCCTTCAAAACATAAGCTATTTTCCCTACAGGCCCTTAGAAACTCAGATGCTTTGTTTCTCTTATTTTATAAAAAGGAAAATTTCACACACTTTTTGTAAGTTTGATCCACTTTACATTTCTTTCTTTGTAATATCCTTTGAGAAGCTTACGTAGTTATTAAAAAAAAAAATCTGTCCGGAAATTTATCCTTTTCTTATTAAAAGAAAAAAAACCCAACAAAGCAAACCAAGGACAAAACCAACTTCAAAACCAAAACCCAAATAAATTCCCTTATTTAGAAAGAAATCTCCATGGAGAGACTTCGCAACATTAAAAGGAGATATAAAAGTAGGGAGGGTAATTATCTATGTCGGATTTTTAATGAAAGGTTCATACCCAGCATTGTGTGGTTTCTTGKACCATTTTTAGCTCTGGGTATTTATACACCCAACCCTCAGCTCACTGGAGCCAGTGATCATATGCCATCTGACAAGGCTTCTTACATAGACTCTTCCCCACAGGTCTGTAGGTGCCCACACTCAGCAGGCTGCCATGTGCTGCTCTACACAATGGTAGTTATGGTAAGAGACCACGGGCTTGCTCCTCACAAGTGTTAAATGCCATTAACAGATTTTCAGTTGCTTGCTTAGTTAGCACATTAACTTTTAAGGAAATATTGCACCTTCTCCAGTCTTGATGTGTTTTTGATTTTCCATAATTTCAGACTGACCTATACCCTGTTCACATATTTGTCTGCTTATTTCAAATGACGAATTATTTTCTGTTACTGCTGTGTGTGCGCTTTGTGAGCTTTTTAATTTAAATGCTACCTGAGCTGATCTTGAGCAGCCCACACTAACAGTCAAAACCACTACCMATTTCTACTGATTAAAAACTCCTAGTTCTCTCTTTGAATGCCACTTCCCACGAGCCTATCTGCTGTGTTAAGTGTTCTGCCCACACAGGCTTCTCCATGCAAAATGCCAGCTTCATCTTCCTAGGAAAGCTAAATATCTTTACCATAAACCTACATAAGAGTTTTTTTTCTGAGGTGATAGAATCAGACTTTATTGTGCCCCTACTTGCATGAACTGGGCAYACCACGGTGAAAATAAAAATCTTTGCCTCAAGGAATTCCACCAAAACAGGGATTTAAATCAGGATTTGTAAACAGGATATTCAAGGAGTTTAATTTCTGCAGAGCTCTGAAGAACTCTGGATTTMCAGAGGGCTGGAACTTCAAGTACTACTCTTTATCAAGTGCAAAGCTTTGCAGAACAAGAGTTTCCATCAGTGGGAGTCTATAAGATACAAACAATTCTGACTTACCCCCACATCTGTAAAGATGAAATATTCTTGGTTGCTAAAAACAGCATGGTGTTGCTTGCTGGAGGGTTACTATGGAACACTAAGAAACTTACAGAATTTGTGAAAACATACTGAAAGAAGAGAATGATGATTTTACGGCAGAATGAACCTAGCTGGAAGCTGCTTGGGGAAAATAAGTCTTTTGTTTAAATTTAATCTTAAATTTAAAATTTTGTACTTGCAAAAGATGTGACAAAATGATTCCCCATGACACCATGTAACTTTCCCCTACCCACTTTTAACAGAAGTCTGCTCTCCAAAGACAGCTAGGCCCCATGTTACTATGCCAGCAGTCTCATCTATGCAGAAAAATCAAATGCTGCAGCTGACCGGAAAACATTAATTTGGAATAAAAATTACTTTTGGCGGGAGTAATTGCCTTCAATGTAAAGCTTTCAATCACCAGTCATGACGACCATGAAAGAGAACTACCAAAAATGCAGAGAATATTAAAGCCCCAAGTATCTACAGTGACAAAGTTTCCATGTGCTAGTTGAGGACGGAATGAGTTAAAAGAAATAGACAATTTCACCACATATATCTACAAGCAATGCAATATTCTCAAGAAAAAAGAAAATGTTCTCTTACATGCTTTGAAGTAAGAGCAGATGTGATTCCTTGGCAAGCCTGTGGCAGTCTAAAACCATGGTTCCATGGACATTTTTCTTTCCTCAGCGACAAAACTAGCTTATGCAATTTCTGCTCTCCTCCTTCTCCCTTAGCTGAGTGCTCCAGCTCCCAGGCCCCTCATGGATGATGCTACAATTGTCTAAGGAGCAACACAAAAAATCCTACAAAAAACGAACCAGCCCCCCAAACACACAAACAACTCCCCAACACATTGTATTTATTTCTAGTACAGTTCAGTGCCCTGGAAGCACCAGAGCAGAAGCAAATTATTAGGAAGAATTCCTTAGCCTGGCTTTGGCCCCAAGATGTGTTCACTGAAGCACAGCCCAACTGAAATGTATCAGTAAGAGCAGGAAATCTCAGGGAAGAGAGTGCACTCCCTCAGACGAGACTCAGTTGCAACAGGCTGTCTAAATAGACAGCAAACAGATTTTGCAAATCTGAAGTACTCCAATACCTTCTCTTTCACTGTAATCCAATTTTTCTACACATTTTGAAGAGGACAGCTCTGCTGAAACAGGGYAAAATCACTCACCAAGGCAGCAAGTGGGGAAAAACCACCTTTGAAATAAAAATTCATAGAAAGCAAGGAGGCACGATTAGAACCAAGGTGTTCCTCTTTCAGGTTTGCTACTTAAGTGGTATGTGTCACTCTCAAATTAATTAAACACATGCTTCACTGTAATTAACCTGTAAAATGAATCTAATAATTAAAAAAAATTACCTATCTCATATTATTTTGTTATTTGGGTTAAGTAACTGGCCGAAAGTTATACAGCTAACTGGAGAATACAGAAGCCGATTTCTGTATTAGAAACAGGATTAAAAACCAAGAAGGATT